GACTGAAGCATACCGGAGGGATCTGGTTTTAATGGGGATGAGGTGGGCAGTGAGATGAGAGTCTGGCTGATATTGGGGGAACTGGGGCATACTGGGAAGGTACAGTTGAAATGGCAAAGGAGAGGACAGAGAGATGAGAGGTTCTGGGTGGTACTGGTGAGGATTGGGGCTTAATAGGGTGTCCGGTTGTAATGGGGTGGGAGGGCCCGTGTTGGTACTGGGGGGGACTGGGGCTTGCTGGAGGGGTCTGGTTGAAAGGGCAGAGTGGAGAGCAGAGAGATGAGAGGGTCTGGTTTGTACTTGGAGGGACTGGGGCATACTGGGGGGTCTGGTTGTAATGGTGGCTGGGAGGGCAGTGAGATGAGGGGATCTGGTTGATGGTGGGAGGGAACTAGGGTGTGCTGGGAGGGCATTGGTTGTAATGGGGTGAGGGAGAGCAGAGAGATGGGGGGACTGGGACGTGCTGGGAGGGTCTGGAATATTTAAATATTTAAATAAAAATATTTAAAGGGTGAGTGTCATGAGGATGGAGCCAGGCTCTTCTCGGTGACAAACAATGATAGGACAAGGGGTAACGGACACAAGCTGGAACACAGGAGGTTCCACTGAAATTTGAGAAGAAACTTCTTCTCAGTGAGGGTGACAGAGCCCTGGCCCAGGCTGCCCAGAGAGGTTGTGGAGTCTCCTTCTCTGCAGACATTCAAAACCCGCCTGGACGCCTTCCTGTGTAACCTCATCTAGGTGTTCCTGCTCCGGCAGGGGGATTGGACTGGATGATCTTTTGAGGTCCCTTCCAATCCCTAACGGTCTGTGATTCTGTGTGATTATGGTTGTAATGGGGGTGGGGGAGGGCAGTGAGATGAGGGGGTGTGGTTAAGACTGGGAAATGCTGGGAGAGGGGGCTGATTGTAATGAGGTAAGGGAGAGGATAGGTTGGGAGGGCCTGCGTTGGTACTGGGTGGGACTGGGGCTTACTAGGAGGGTCTGGTTGTAATGGGGTGGGGGAGGGCAGTGAGATGAGGGAATCTGGTTGATACTGGGGGTGACAGGGGCATACTGGGAGGGCACGGTTGAAATGGCAGGGGAGAGGGCAGAGAGATGAGAGGGTCTGGTTGATACTGGGAGTGACTGGGGCATACTGGAGGGGCTGGTTGTAATGGGGATGGGGAAAGCAGTGAGCTGAGTGGGTCTGGTTGATGCTTGGAAGACTGGGACATCCTGGGAGGGCACTGGTTGTAATTGGGGATGAGAGGGCTCATGTTGATACTGAGGGGGGACTGAAGCATACTGGGAGGTTCTGGTTGTAATGGGTTTTGGGAGGAGGATGTGATGGGAGTGTCTGGGGTGGTACTGGAGGAAACTGGGACATGCCGGGAGGGTTTGTGCTGTTCTGAGGGGGTGATATGCAGGGAGGATCCTTGTTGATACTGGGGGAAAACTGTGCCACACTGGAAGTACTGGGGAAGAAAAGAGCTGAAAGGCCAGGCCTGGGGGAAGGGGAATCCTGGCCATCCCATGGACGCTGGGGGTACTGGGCAGACCGGGACCATCTCTGACGCTATGAGGGAGGACAAAAAATAGGGTATTTTTGGCCCAGCAGCCCCTCTGCGGCCACAGTTGGAGCTTTTTGTGCTGCTTCCAGTTCCTTTATCGCTGCCTCTTCGCATCCATCTGTCCCTGTTCATCCCCATCTGTCTGTCCGTCCTTATCCATTCATCCATCCGTCCATCCCCATCTGTCTGTCTGTCCCCGTCCGTCCGTCCCCATCCATCTGTCCCCATCCATCCATCCCAATCAGTCCCTATCTGTCTATCCCTATCCATCCATCCATCCTTCCCCATCTGTCTGTCCCCATCCATCCCCAAAATGATTCTTTTTCCCTCCCCAATGCATTTTCTTGCTTTTATTTCGAGCCCGCAGACCCCACTGGCAAGGACCGGTCGCCCCATCTGGGCCAGTGACTGCCTGAAATGGCAACTTGCCACCGCCCCATCCTTGCCTGGGCCCTTCTCGCCAACGTTGGGCTCACTGACTCGGGGAACGCCTCTCCTGCTGCGTTTTAGGAGAACGTAAGCACCTTTTTTATGACCCTCTCAGTTGTCTGTCTCGGGCTGAACTCCCCTAAATCTTCTCTGCTTTGGCACACTTCGGGAAAACCCTGGGTTTTCCCCCCAGAATATGTCCACTTGTGCTTTTCTTGCTGCGCCTCTTTCTGTTCTCTGGCTCATGAAGTGCTGCCTGTGCACTTCAGCCCCTTTCCCAAGAGCAGAGCTCCCCGAAACCCCTCGGTTTAAACCAACCGGCACTGGTGAATCTCTTCTGGCTCCCAGTACGTTGTGTCTCATCCACTCCTCTCCCAGTTAATGTTAAGCCCTCAAGGGGCTCCCATGGAGCTGTACCCAGATAGGATAATCCCTCGGTGACTTTGCTGTAGCCACCACAGGGATTTATTTTTCTGATAAATTCACAAAACACCAGATTGATCACCAGCAAGATGAAATCGCGCCTGGAAACCCTCTCGCTTTGGCCATGAATTCCCTTCTCCGCTGTCCTGGTTTGAGCTCAATAGGAATTTAGCAATTTTATCTATTTAGCGATTTTACTTTTTTAGTTAAGTGTCGTCTAAAACCATGTGAGAGACATGGCTGGGGGTGGAAGGCGTGGGCAAGGAACAGCATTTCTTGGAACACCTTTAATGCGATCACAGAACGTTAGGGATTGGAAGGAACCTCAAAAGCTCATCCAGTCCAATCCCCCTGCCGGAGCAGGAACACCTAGATGAGGTTACACAGGAAGGCGTCCAGGCGGGTTTTGAATGTCTGCAGAGAAGGAGACTCCACAACCTCTCTGGGCAGCCTGGGCCAGTGCTCTGTCACCCTCACTGAGAAGAAGTTTCTTCTCAAATTTCAGTGGAACCTCCTGTGTTCCAGTTTGTGTCCGTTACCCCTTGTCTTATCATTGTTTGTCACCGAGAAGAGCCTGGCTCCATCCTCGTGACACTCACCCTTTAAATATTTATAAACATGAATGAGGTCTCCCCTCAGTCTCCTCTTCTGTATGAACCAGGGTGTCTCCAGGCAGGAAAGACAAGACCAAACCACACGAATTTAGGTGTTTGCGGCAAAGATCTCATTGTTTTAGCTCTTGCCCATGTGTCAGGCCCTTGTGGGGTGTGATTTCACGTGGATTTTTTGGAACATGGATGGTGCTTTAGCCTTCTTCCCCTCGCTTGGTGGGGATCCACGCATGGTGTCTGGAGTGGGGACAGCAAATCCAGCCTGGGGCATCCCCAAGGTGGATATCAGAGCCCGGCATCTCTTGTCAAGCGGTGCAACCCCTAAACAGGCTCCAGAGTTATCACCAGCCTCAGAAAGGGGTCCCAAAAACCACCCCAATGTGCTCCAAAGCCCACTTGTGTTGTTGGATCCCCAGGAGCTGGGGGCTGAATCTTTGGGACACGGCTCGGGCTGGTCTCTCAGCTTTTGCTCCAACTGAGTAGTTACGAACAGGCCCTGCAAAGAAGTGAATTGCTCCCTGCTAGGAATAGCAGCTGCTTTTTGGGTACTAGAAACAGGATAAAAAAGGGGTTTTTAAGTGCTGATCTGGGCTGTTTCTCTGATGCTAGGACTGCCCACCACCCCAGCCCCCAAGGGGGAAGGAGATTGGTGACACCAAGTTTTATAGTAGTATCTGTCACTCTGCCTCTTCCTCTCCGAAGTCTCTCCTCACTCCTTGATTGCACCCTGACCTCCCTCTGTGTTGCTGCCACCACCCACATCTTCATTTTTGGACCTTCACGCTCCTGCCCCTGCCCCCTGCCCCAGGTCCCTCTCATGCTCTCTCCTTTCTCATTTTTTGCAGGGACTGCCATGGAAGTGCAGCCAGGTCCCCCAGCCTCGGAGCCCCCCTTATCCCAGCACCTCTTCCCTCTTTCTGAAGGAGATGGACCCAAAGGTGAAGAAGAGCAGGAGGAGGCTCAGGAGGAGGACGCAGCTGAGGCGCAGCCAAGAGAAGAGGTGGGGGAAGGCTCCCCAGAGCAAATAAGACAAACCTCTCCACGCCGCTCAGGATGGTGCTGCCGTGGGCAGAGCCCTCTCGCGCCTCGGGGTGCAGGCAGGCCCTGCCAAAAGACTGGTGAGGACGAAGGTGCTTCCCTGTGCCACCCGGCACCGGAGGAGCTGCGGCTGTGCCAGCAGAAGCACCGGTTGTGCTTGAAGCCCACGACAAGCCATATTCCTGCATCGCCAGGGCAGGGGGAGAGCGCCGAAGAGCCAGGACCTTCCCGCGGGAAGAGGCTGAGGTTGATCTGGGGTGACTTAAGGCAGAGGGAGATGGAGAATGGGCTGAAGGAGATGCCACAGAGCAGTGAGGAAGAGGAGGAGGAGGAGAGACGGTCTCAGTCCTGCTCCCCTGAGCTGCCCCTTTCTGACGACACCCGTCCCAAGCCGGACTTCGTCCAGTTAATCGACGAGCGCGGCATCTACTCCACCGCCAAGCTGGTGCTGGGGAGCGCAGTGGGCGAGCTGGAGGAGGTGGCGGCGGTGGGGCTGCCAGCCCATCCCAAACGGGGAACAAGCAGCATCGGCGAGCTGGAGATCCGTGAGGTGATCGTGGACGAGAAGCCCTTCCAGTGCGGTGTCTGCGAGAAGGCCTTCAAGAGGGCCTGGGAGCTCTTCAGCCACGAGGTGGTCCACAATGAGGAGCGCCCCTTCCACTGCGACCTCTGCCAGGCCTCCTTCAAGCGTCACTCGGACTTCAAAAGCCACCGGCTGGTCCACACGGAGGAGCGGCCATTCCGCTGCGAGCTCTGCGGCAAACGCTTCAAGCGCTCCTCCAACCTCCAAGAGCACCGGCGCATCCACAGCGGCGAGCGTCCCTTCCGCTGCCCCCGCTGCGCCAAGAGCTTCAAGACCCCCTACGAGCTCCAGCGCCACGCACTCACCCACTGCGCTGAGAAGCCTTTCAAGTGCACTGACTGCGGGAAGGACTTCCCCACCTCCAACGCCCTCCTCCTCCACCAGCGCCAGCACTGCGACGACAAGCCCCACGTCTGCGGGGTCTGTGGGAAGAAGTTCACCTACGGCCACAGCCTGAAGGTGCACGAGCGGGTGCACACGGGCGATCGCCCCTTCGTCTGCCCGCTCTGCGGCAAGGGCTTCAAGCAATCCAATGCCCTCTCTTCCCACGAGCGGGTCCACACTGGTGAGCGGCCTTTCGTCTGCAAAACCTGCGGAAAAGCCTTCAAGCAGTCATCCTACCTCGTGATCCACGAGCGGGCGCATACCGGGGAGCGCCCATACAAGTGCGAGGTGTGCGGAAAGGCCTTCGCCCGGCCCTCCTTGCTCCTCCAGCACCACCGTGTGCACAGCCAGGAGCGGCCCTACAAGTGCAGCTTCTGCCACAAGTTCTTCAAGGACCTGGCCTACCTGGCCGTGCATGAGAAGGTGCACACGGGCGAGACCCCCTACAAGTGCAGCGTCTGTGACAAGGGCTTTGCCCACCCCTCCAACCTGCTGCAGCACCAACGTGTTCACCGCGATGGCTGAGCCCCGGCGCGGGAGGCACAGCTCTGGCATTGCCAAAACACTGATGGCCATAAGCCAAAATGCTGACAGCAGGCGAGCCCTGGGCTGGGGGACCCCGTATGTGTGCCCGAGAACCCCCAAAAAGCTGTGGTGCTTCTTAGCCCTAGCCTTTTGCTGAACTTGGACCTGCACCGTGCTCTCCTCCCTCCATGGAGGTGACCCTCCCCAAGCCTGTGGGCCAGGGTGACCACAAGCAGCCATGCCGTGGCTTGTGGCACACAGCTGGTGGGCAGGCAGGAGCCCTCTCCTTTGCCCTCATGCAGGGAGGAGGGCTGAGATCCCCCCTAACTTGTCCCCAGTTCCCCTCCCTGGTCATCCCAGTGAACATGGCTCAGCCTGACTGGGGGCTCCCAGGGAGTTGGGGCATGCTGTGCCCTGCAGGAGGGGATGAACCTGCCTGGTTTTTGGGTAGGGGTGGGTACAGTGACGGTACGGGCAGCAGAAAGGATCATGGGGAAGAGCAAGGAGCGGGCACCTCCCTTTCCCCCTGAAGCCTTTTAGGGTTCAAGTGTCTCATCCATATCTCATGTGCTGCTAATTAACCCCATTAATTGCCCCCCCTTTTTTTCTGCCCTTGGGTGCTGGCAGGGCTGGTAGGAAGCAGAAGAAAGGGGTGAGATGTGCTGCTGCCGTCCATTTTGGGAGCCTGAGCGATGCCCAGTGCTGTTGAGTTCTCCAACTGCTCCTGGGATTTTCCAGGCAGGAACCTGGATGGGGTACAGACAAGGAAGGCACAACCAGATCCCTCTGTCATCATCATCCTCCTCTTCCTCTTCTTCCTCTCTCTCTTCCCAGAGCTCCCAACCTGGATTTGTCTCCCATGGCCGATGGCTACAGGGGGGAGGGTGGCACAGGGACCTTTGTGCCCTTGTGCTGTCCCTTGGACTCCTGGAGATCCTGGGTCCCACACTGTCCTCTCCCCCTCCTTTTCGTATGGTCCCTGTAGCGCTGGGAAACAGGGTTGGGGGGTGGGATGTGTGCGCTCCTCGGCACTCTTGCACACTAATTACAGGATGGTTATTTAACGACGGCTCTGTCTCATCGTTGCCTCCAGCTCGTGGCCATGTCTTGGCTTTTGATGCTGGTACACCCCTTGGTGGTCTTGGCTCCTTCCCAGCATCCTGCAGATGTGGTGAGGAGAATCCCACCCCATCCTGGGTGTGATGTGGATCTCATGCAGCACCACTGAGCCCGTAACCTGCAGAAGCTGGGTGCTGGATGGGCCAACAAGATGTGTTTGTGGTTTGGGCTGGTGGATCCCCCTGCAGGGATGGTTGTGGGCCTCTTGGTCATGTTGGTGGTCTCCCCTAACTCACAACTTCCTCCCACATCAGCCCTTGAGACAGCACCAGGGCAGCTCTGGCCTCTTCCAAATGGTGTTTCCAGCTGCAAGTCATGAAACTGTGATTGGATTCAGGGCTGAGCCTTTCCCTAGAAGTCCTCTGTGGCCCAGCCAGTGATGGACACTTCACAGAATCAGAGAGTTACAGAATATTAGGAGTTGGAAGGGACCTCGAAATCTCATCCAGTCCAACCCCTGCCAGAGCAGAATCACCTAGACCAGGTCACACAGGAATGCGTCCAGGTTGGTTTTGGATGTCTCAAGAGAAGGAGACTCCACAACCTCTCTGGGCAGCCTGGTCCAGTGCTCTGTCACCCTTACAGTAAAAAAGTTTTTCCTCATGTTCAGATTGAACCTCCTATGTTCTTCCATTACCCCTTGTCCTGTCATTGTGCTGCAATCTTGAGGTGTTTGCTCCTGGAGTTTCTCAGGAAGGACCTAGGGGACATATTCACCGAGCATGAGGACCGCAGGTTGCTCACATGGAGGGATTTGGGTTTATTTCTGAATGCAATGGACCCCAAGCAGCCCTGACTCTGATTTTGCTCTTAATTTGGGGACGGCGCTCTCGAGCCTCTCTGAAGTGTCGCAGCATGGGGAAACATAGAAAAGCCTTCGGTTCTGGGCCTTTCTCAGTTTTGGGATGTCTTTCCCAGTTTTGGGATGTTCATCCCTGGGGAAGGTGGGAAAGGAGCGGGAGCGCAATGTACCCACGTTGACTCCAATGTCTGGCAAGGATGGCATCAGTCACCTTGGCCAATGCCATCTGCTGCTCTTAGGACCTCTTCTTGGGCCTCCTGGCCTCCATCCCCTCATCCTGGCTGCCTTTGGGGGGCCAAGCCCTCAATTTGGGAGCCTGGGGGACTCCAAGACAAGGCTGGGAGCAGGGTCCCTCTGGACTGGGATGGTTTTAGGCAGGAGGTGCCCGCAGAGACCCATGAGCATCCAGGTCTTGAGCCTTCGTGAACCTCAGCAGAGGTTCCCCTAAAGGGGTGGTCACGAGGGCATGGCGTGAGTAAAATGGGGCTCTGCAGCCACTCCAGAAACGCATCTGGAGAGGATGGTGGAGTATTTGGGGCTGTGGGGTTTTGCAGGTCTGGCATCTAGGAGGGTTTGCCTCCATCCAAGGTCTGGGATGGAGGAGCAGAGGAGGAGCAGCTCATGTCATGCCCCCAGCACTCACACCCATCATGCCTGGAGGGTTGGGGATCCCCTTTTTAATTCACTTGCCCACCTCTTTCTCGTCTGCTCCTTTCGCTCAGCCTTGCGCCAGCTGCCGGGTTCATCAGGCACCTCCTGAGCTGCAGGGGCTGCCCAGAGGGATCCAGAGGGAGTTAAATAAATGTCACCAAACTGGGAGACCCTCTTGGGGGGAGTCTCCAGACTGGGAGACCTCCCTCTTGGCCAGCTATTTCAGGGCTCCTGATGCAAGTCATTGGAACTGGCTGGTTTTGAAGTGTCTGTCAGCTGTGCTTTGCAGTCTTTGGGAAAGCAGATTAGGGAAAAGGGGGGCAGGGAGGTTCTGGGACCCTCCCCAAGGTTATGGGGGAGGCTGGTGTCATGGGTCAGCGTCTTCCTTCATCAGCTGCATCATCTCAGTGTGGGTGTCCTCAGGGCCTTCTGCCTTGGTGGGGAGGTAGATGGCCCCCATGGGCTGATAGGACATGGCTGAAGTGCTGCGATCCCCTGTGGGATGGAGCAGGGAACACTGGGGTTGTCACCAGGTTCTGGTGGCCACTGAGCTCACCCCTGTCCCCACAGGTCCCCTTGGGGTTCAGGGGGGACACACGCGGGGATGGGATCATCACCTCTAGCCTGGGCTGCTGCTATCATGCACCTCCTCCTCAGGATGAGCCACAGCAGGATCCCGCTCAGCACCATCACCAGGGCCAGCAGCGCCACCAGCGCCATGCAGGTTGAGGAAGCACCTGGGGTTCGGTGGGAGAGCAGACTCGCCATCCCCTTCCCAGCCAAGACCAGTGACAGCGCGCAAGAAAACCTCCCACCCAATGGGGCCTGACCCCGCCCCAGCAGCTTAATTGAGCTTCCCTTAATTAGGCTTCACATTAAGACCCATTTCCCTGG